TATTATTATTATTATTATTATTATTATTATTATTATCATCATCATCATCATCATTTATTCTCAATTATAAACTGGTTCATGAAGGCAAGAAACACAGGGCTTAAGTGATTAATTATTACTAATATAACATTACAGGTACTAATATTACATTTAAATTTTTACATTTGTAGGCACTTTAGGAGAAACAATCTATGTATGCATATAAGCAATTACAAAATACATTAATAACAATCTAATTTTTAACTGTACTTTCGTCTTTGTTCATGTTCTAGTTCACTAAATATTCACTTAATATTATTATATTCATCATTATTACATGGCTTAATGACTCACGGTCTTCCCATGAGTCGCACCCATAATCCGTCCCTATGTCAGATGAGTGGGCCACGGCGAAGAAATAAAGACTGGCCACGGTGGGACATGCCTGCGGACTTCCACAGGTAGCCGCGTGGGCGGAAAGGATATCCCGCCCATTATCCATCGCGCCAAGGATTAGGAAGGAGCTCGAGGTACAGAAGGATACGGGAGATATCCGGGATGGGAGTGAAGGATTCGCAATTGCGATAACACCATACATCCACGAGGGAGGGGCAGAAAGAGAGAGAGGAGGGAAGGGAGACTGAAGGTACACAGCGAGAGACTAAAAAAGGTAAACACCGACTTCAAATACTCTCGAAAATATATAAATGGCCTACTGACTCCTTAAGACTTCAAAAACCCAAGAAATGAGGATATTGCATTACATTCCCCCTAGTACTGTCCCCAACAAAATTTGAGGCAAATTTTCCCATTATACTTTCCCATTATTTTCACAAAAAACGATGAAATGTTAATTATTAATTACTTTATTATGAATGATTGTAATTTAGTACAGATAACCTTGACACTTGATTTTTAATTACGTAAAATGCATTCAATTTCAAGTAAAATTATGTGCCCGCAGCAACATTGATATCGATACCTATGGTGGAATTCATAGTGGACCCTTAAAATAAGTGTTCAGAGAATGATAAATTCTTATTCAAAAAAACAGCCCTGATTCTCAAACAGAATGGGCAATACTTAACCAATCATTCGTACAAAGGAGGTTGCCCATACAGTAACTCAGTGGGCTCCTCTTTATAAGTTAAGGTTAGAATATTAAGCGGTAGTCACATCTACATTAGAAACCGACGGCGAAGATTTCCCAGAATATTTTGAATTTTATACGCGTCACATAATTCCTACTGCGAAAAGGTTCACTAAAAGCATGGAAAAGTACAAAGGAAAATATGATCGGAAGTGTACAATTACGACCTCCAAACCGCGCAAGTTGCAAGCAGCAAAGCCTAGTAAGAAAGTGCACAAGTAGCAAAGGCAATTGGGCCGCTCTTAGTACGAAAAATATTGAGTATGTGCACTCTACGATCGTATAACCACGACACAGCTGATGTAATGATATGTTATTGCGTTTTTCATCACTAACGGCATCACTCGTCACACGTTTAAGAGGAAAGTAAATGAAATATTCATTAAGTGAGCATTTTAATCATGTAGTGCTAAAGGTTTCCCTAATTCTTAAGGCTCGCCTGCCATTTCGGCCCTTTAATGCTTAATAACATTGCGATATAGACACGAAACACTGTACAGACTCCAATAATGCAGCATGCCTAATCGCGAACTTTCTACGTAACTCCCGCCAACAAGTCGAAAGTGACACGGTCCGACGTCATGAGGCGACAAAGGTCATTCACTGCGCTTTTGAAACATTCAAATATCTTGCTTCCAATTACATAAACTATGAAATGTTAATTGACATATAACAAAGTATTATTGCAATTCAGGAAATATATCTTGAGATTTGTTTCGTAAACAAGTAATTTTATTTAAAATACTGTCAAGATAATATTACACGTACAGACACTTAAGGTTCAATAACATAACGATATAGATATCAAAGATCGTACAGATTCAAATACTGCAGCCTCTCTAAAGGCAAAACCGCCATGCAATCCCTCCAGCTTGTCGGGAGCGTCACAGGTTCCATAGAACAATCACATACACAATGCTTGCCGAATATTTAAAGAAGTGTAATAAGTAAGTATAAGAAGTATTATAAACGTGAAATATTGTCTTATATTATTTATCTTAAGATGCGTTTCAGAATTAATAAGAATCCATATAATTTTATATGAAATGGCTTATCAATAGCATTATTGCAAGAAACTTCTCTAAATGCAAAACATACATCAATATTTCTTTCATAATAAAGTACAATAAATTCATTATATTTTATGTTTAATAGCATCGAAATATGGATATCAAATTCTGTGTTTTTTAGGATATCTACTGCTCCGACATTAGCCTGGTGTTGACCGCAGAAACTACGACTAAAACTACCGATCAGAGCAGCCAGCCGCTACAATTCTCCACACAGCACTGAATTCGACCTAACTATGAAGCTAGTGTCGAAAATACTGCCCCTTTCGGAACTCGAACTCCAGGATATCCCAGTCAGAGGCACTGCAGTGCCATCAATTGGCACTTCGAGCCACATAAGCCGGTCGAAATCGCCATGCCCGCACGCTAACAGGTCGACATCAATATTAACTGCGGTGACACGAGCCGCATTGACGTTTTCTGTGGTGACGACACAAAGATATGCAATGCTTTTCGATCATTTAAATAACTACGAAATTGTGACATATAAATTAATTATTATGTAATTAAGAAATAATGAAATTCAGTAATTAATGTCTATAATTAGTTTCACATTAGTATTAAGTAAAGTGCGCATCAAATTATATTTCGATTCTTCAATTATTCTTAAGGGACATTTTATCGTCATGGTAAGTAGCAATGGAGCCGCAACTAGGTTGACTGTTTCGAAATCGGCAAACGTATTTTCACAAAAATTTCGAAACACTTCGTAAAATAATGTTTATTATTTTTTTTTTCAAACGTTTCGAAGCCAGTATTGAAATTTCATGTTTAATAACATCGCGTTCTCCACACCAAATCCTGTAATCTCCGTAACGGCAAAATCGCCACTCGTTTAGGCCAGCAGGGTGAATGCGAGCCGGATCGAAGCGACAGGAGCCATAGCGGCGTCCTCTGTGGTCACTGTATAAAAATACACAATGCGTTTTGATTAACTTCCGAATAACTAACAACCTATGACACGTAAATTAATTATTGTAAAATGAAGAATTATTGCATTCAGTAATTAATATGACTGGAGATTTGATTCATAATAGTATTTCTCAAAAAAGTAAAATGCATATGAGTGATGTTTCCATTGCTCAAAGATTATTTTACCAGTGACATTTTTAACGTCATGGTTACTTGATGTGGACTTGCAACCGAGGTTGATCACTGCGGAAGGTAAAACGCACTTCTATACAATTATTAAACTGGAATCGACATCGAGGAATCGGTATCAAATCCTGTAGCCTTCCTAAAGGCTAAATCCCCACGCGTGCAAATTTTAGGAAAACATCGATATTTCTATACATTACAAAAAGGTTTTCGATGTAAATGAAAACATCGATGGTTTAAATATGTTGAAACATTTCGAAGTAAAATGCCCTGGTTCTAATGCGATACATAACACGTCGATATTATTTTAAGGTATATATTGCCTTAAATTTGACTGTCATCTTAATTTTCTAATCAATGTTCTATGTGGTCAAGGTTCAAATTGCAGTTGAACGACATTACCACGCACGCACGCGCGCGCGCGCGCACACACACACACACACACACACACCAAAAAAAAGTGAATAGCGAACGGTTTGCTGCCACCTGAGGATCGATGACAGTGACAGTGGCCAATGGCTGTTAATAGCGAGCAATCCACAAATAAAATGAGATACTGGAAAATTTATATCATATATATATCTTTTAAATAGATGTTTCTGTACAAATACATCGATCTGAAGAAAACATATATGTTATACCTCTTCCCCTTCTGGGAGGTCCGCTACGACCCCCTGAAATTACGAATCACAATTCGAGGAGGGTTCGCTCGTTGTTCCCAAGAAAAAGCTGAAAGGTGTACGGAATATTCCACACACGGATTAAAGTCGAATAGGGTTTCAGAATTCGTCAGACATCAACCAATTGGAACTGTCATTCACTATGAAGATTATCAGCTTTCTAATTCATCGATATTTCTGTACGAAAATACAGATTTTTTTTACGTTATTTTTTAAGGTCGCATTAACATCTAGGTCATTAGCGACCACTATTGCATTTAACGGTATGGTAACGGAAAATACGTGATATGGTAACGATAGGGTTGTGAAAGGACGAACACAAATACAACCATCCCCGAGGCGGGACTTCGAACCCGCGATCCTTCGGCCCGAGATCGCTACGGCACTGACAAAACCAGCCACCGGACCGAATTTTATTTATTTATTTATTTCATTTTTGCATCTCTACGCGTGCGCGTCCGCAGGTGAGAGCGTTTTACGTTATTTTTAAGGTCGCATTAACATCTAGGTCATTAGCGACCACTATTGGCATTAAACGGTACGGTAACTGAGGAGACGTGATATGGTAACGATAGGGTTGTGAAAGGACGAACACAAATACAATCATCCCCGAGGCGGGATTCGAACCCGCGATCCTTCGGCCCGAGATCGCTACGGCTCTTAACAATCCCAGCCATCCGAACCGAATTTATTTATTTACTTCTTTTTTGCCATCTCTACGCGTGCGCGTCCGCAGGTGGAGAGCGTCGCGAGCGCCGAGAGCCGCAACGACGCCGCCGGGGGCCAATACGGCAGCGACAGCAGCAGCTTCGGCGACGGTCGCCCGCCGACGCCGCCGGCTCCCCGCTAGAGCGTTCCCCGCTCCGCCGGCAGCCAGCGGCGGCGGCGGCAGCGAGTAGCTTTCTCCGGGCATCAACTCCCACTCCGACCCACTTCCCAGCGCCCATCGCTGCGTCGAGCCGAGCCCCGCCGCGCCGCGCGTCGCCCGTGTGTGTCTGTGTGCACAGCGCTGCCGCGGCCGACGCTGGCTACTGGATTTCTGTTTTCCGTAATTTCTCTCCGGGTTCGCTACTGTTCGTGGTTGTTGAAGTTGGTTGCTTGCGAAATTCACACGCCGTTCCAAGGATTTGGTCGCACTTAATACATCATTCTATATTCTGATCAGTGTTCTGCTACCATCAGTTGTTACTGCTGGCTACTAAATTTCTTTTTCATTATTTCTCTCTGGGTTCACTACTGTTCGTGGTTGTGGCAGTTGGTTACTTGCAATGCGAAATTCACACGCCTTTCCAAGGATATGGTAGCACCTAATACATCATTCTAAATTCTGATCAGTGTTCTTCTACCCTCAGTCGTTACTGCTGGCTACTGGACTTCCGTTTTCCATAATTTATCTCTCTTCTGTTCGTATTCTTGGCAGATGGTTCAGCGCAATTCGGAATTCACATAAGATGCGAAGGATTTGGTCGCAGTCATCATTCGAAATTCTGAACAGAGTATTGCTCGCTACTGCTACTGCTGGCTACCAAATTTCTGTTTCTTTCCCTAAGCTCTTTTCTGTACACCAAGATTCGTATTAGTGGAAGTTAATTATACATAAAACATCGTCCCCTACGCCAGTGTGTGTGCACAGCGTTCTCGCTACCGCGGTCTATGCTGGCTTCCAACTTTCTGTTTTCCGTAATTTCTCTCCGTGTTTGTTGCAGTTGGTTACTTGCAATGCGAAACTCACACGCGTTTCCAAGGATTTGGCTCCACCTCATACATCGTTTCAAATTCTGAACAGCGTAAAGAAGAGCGAACGAAATTCTGAACAGCAACTGTAGTCGCTACTACTAGCTACCGGTTACCTGTTTTCCATAATTTACCTCTCTTCTTTTCATATTCCTTCCCATTTCCGTGATACGTCATTAGAAATTTTGAACAGCGTACTTCTCGCTCCTGCTGGCTACCAATTTCTGTTTCCTTCCCTTCTTTTCTGTACTCCACTGTTCGTACTACTAGAAGTTAGTTATACGTAAAACATCTGTTTTCATGCCCGTGCGTGTTCACAGCGTCCGCGCTGACGTAGCCTATGTTCGCTGGCACCTAACTGATTTCTGTTTTCCACAGTTCATCTTCTCTGTTCACTACTGTCCGTATTTGTTGGAGCTGGTTACGTGCAATGTGAAATTCACACAGCTTTCGAAGGATTTGGTCGCACGTAACACATCTTTCGAAATTGTTGACAGCGTTTTGCTATCTTCACTTGTAGTCTCTACACGATGTTACTTTTCCTCTTTTCTGTTCATCACTGTTTGGAATCGCTTGTACGTAAAATATCAGTCGAAAATTTTGAACAACGTTCTACAAACATCAGCTGCATCTGCTACCGTTTTTCGTATTCCTTGCTATATCTGGTCACCACGGTTCGTATTCGTGAGGAGTTCGTTACACGCAATTTGCAATTCACACATAATTCGAAATTTTGAAGAGAATTCTGCAGCCATTTGCTGTACTTCATACGGCTATTTACAATATGTCGAATACGAGTCTTAGCTTCGTTCACATTTCCTTTACGCTACTACAACGGTCCTTTAGTGCCATCATATTTGAATTCCCTTGCTAGACAGTCACCACTTCTAATTCGAATTAGAAAAAAAATACAATTCAAAATCAATGCCGTGTTTGAGTTCATCTGCAACCATTTCGTACATTGTTTTTCTGCTACAACTTTCGACAATGTAAAATTTGGGGAATTTTTCGTAACGCCGCTCATTACATATTGTTTGCCTACAACAAACAGCACTCTTCGACTTCCTTTAATTTCAATAATATGAAGCTTGGGCTAGTTTTGTAATTTCGTTTACTTTCAGTAACTACCCACCAAATACCATATTCACGGGCATTAATCAAAATATTAATGAATACACATTAAAAAAAGGGCATCTCTTTAGCTTGTTTCTATCGGTTGTATTCGAAAACGTGACATTCGTTTTTTGTTTCGAACTTATTTTATTCTAATTAGAAAACTAATCGCCATGCACGTTAAATACACAAGGCCGTCTTAATGTTAAAGCTACTGTTCGAGTACCACAAATTTTATTTCCTTGAAAACATTTATTCATTACAGTTTCAAATATAATGGTCGAGATAATTGTACCTGATTATTCGCATTAACAAGGCATTTGTTCTCGCTACTGGTTACAGTTTTCGCTTGATTCAGCATGACTTAGGCTCGAATCATTCCTTTGTTTGTAAAATCGACTTACTTAAATGTCAAAAATCATTTCACCAGTCAAATGCCCGAGCGAGACAAATCATACACGGAGAGTGCTTAAACACTTTCTGCTACCTCCGATTTCTACTTGGCACTTTCGAATTCCTCTCTAGCTCTAAGTAAAAACGAATAAATCGTTAGCAGTCGACAATTGCTGGTAGTAAACAATTCAAACTGCAATATATAAAAAAAATCATGTTTTTTTTTTTAATTGATTACCCAGAAAATCGAATTTCTATTTCTGTTTACTTGCTTTCATATTATTACTATGTATTGTTACTGTGCTTAAATAAAAAAATTCAATTTCAAATTTCAATTTTTAATATCTTTTTTCTGAAATTTACACTTGGTATGTAAAATAATTTGTTCTAATTTTTGAAGGTGAGTACCATTCATCTCTTTCATCTCTACTCTTAAAGTTACTTTACGCTGACAAATTATTAATAAAAACCTCTCTTTTGACGATATTGCAATTCCCCGACAAGCCTTTCACAATTTGCAAACACATGACATTTAATGCAGCCACTTTATTCCTGCAGTAAGGAAGAAGTACTTTTATGTTTTGTTTACGGCTGCATAAACACACTGTACTTGCCCAGAATTGAACTCTGGACGCTGCTCCTCAGCGAACGCTGTTGCGTTCTGGCTAGACGCTGCTTTTGATTTTTTTTATTTAATCAGTCATGGGAAGGCGGAAGGCAGGGAAATATGGTTTAATTTGATTAAATACAACCAGATTTCAGTCTCATTTCGTACCATTTTAATGTATGATAAAGTACAAAAAGCAATAAATGTTTTCAAATCTTGAAACAGACATTAAACTCTGCTGAACACTGAAGGACTACAGCACATACCTCTCACACACAATCGCTTGTGATGACAAAAAAAAAAAAAAAAAAAAAAATTAAACTCAAGAACATGCACAATACTGTTTAACAGCAGACGGCGAATAATTGCTTTGTCTGCCGGGTGTTTTGCGTGCACCCTATAATTCATATTTAATGCAATATTAATATAAAATAAAACACTCTATATCCACAGGTACCGGTCCCGTAGGACATCACATCTCTCACGAGTAAAACAAGTGAAAAACCATTTATCACATAGCTGCAATCTTAACAACTCTTATTCTTTGAAGGTAAATAGACATCTTTTTATAGAGTATTTTTTTTACTTCTTTTCACGATAGAATCGACTACAAAAAATTGCAAAAAAGACGACACCTTTCTCTCTAAGGGTCTCACTATGAACGCAGGTACACTACTAGGAAGTCTGTAAATCTATATACAAGAGTCCTCTGTATGCGCCCCACCTTTTTCAAAGGTGGGCTTGAGGGGGTGGGGTGGGGGAATCGGTGCCCTCCGTGGCTCAGTCTTGGCTCTCTTGGCGTGATGAAGGCGTGCGTAGCACCAAGAATGGCATGCGAAGAAAAAGAAAAAAAAGTTGTTTTTTTTTCCTTTTAATTTTCGCTTCCACCCGCTCGCTCGCCCAGACGCCTGATTTATTAATTAGTTTGTTTGTTTTTTTAAATTTATTCTACTCCAGGTACGAGCGGTAGAGCTTCTTTTTGTCGAGCGAGAAGCGCGGGGAAATGACTACGGTACTGCCTCGAGTCAGGTTCTTGAGGAACTGCGGCAGCAGAGAGTGCCACGAACTGAGGTCCTGGCGGAGCGTCAGGTACAGCTCGAAGGTCGACACGGTGTCGGAGTCGAGCTTTATCGTGCTCACCCGCCGACACGTGTCGCCCGTCTCCAAATTTACGTGTAGCGTGCAGCCCCTGCAACAACACAAGCAAAGAATACACTTAGCTGGCTGCTTCTCCAAGCCTAACACAATATACAAAAAAAAGAAGAAAATTGCAATACGTAATACGAAACGTAACTGATAATTCCCACTCGCAACAAACTTTCGGCTTGTGGAGAGAAAAATTTCAGGGTCAAAACCATTTAGACAATATCAAATTGCGTCTTTTTTTTTTTATTCGTTTACTTTTCATTATTTTTCTTTAACGTATTTATCCACAGAAATATCGAAAGGGGTTTGATAATTAGCAGGAGGGGACTCTGTACTAATCCGTCATTCACGATTCGGGCTAACCCTCCCACAACACGGGCCCGACGTATTGCCTTCGCCAACGGCCCGCTCAACAATTGCGACTTTCCTCCGCATCATGACGAGATCGTGCCTGCAGGGGAGTATGAACTCCGCCCCGCCCAAATTGCCGCTTCAATTTGACGTTTTCTCCGGCGGCGCGGGCCGAGCGAAACCACGGCGAAGGCTCTGCTCCCCTCCTCACAAAGCAACTCGGGCCGACGTCTCCTCGGAGGAAATACATAAATCATAGGCGAGCGCCCAGCGACGCGTCGGGAGCGGTGGGGGTGAGGGCAAGGGCGTTAAGACGGGCGGCGGGGCGGCAGGGAACGTTGAAGGGCGAGGACGCGGAAAAGCAAGGGTAACGACGCAGGGGGGGGGGAGGAGGAGGAGAAGGAGAAGCGGCGTGGAACAGGGGAAACGGTTAAGTGGCGGGAGCGGGACAAAAACTCGGCAGACGCAACACCGAAGGGACGGAAAGCGAAAAGGAGGGGAAGTTTGGCGGGGAAGGGGGAATCAACTACGCGATAAAGGCACGCGGGACGGGGAGAGAGGCGGGCTACAAAACCGAGCTCAAACGACGGCGGGGGGAAGGAGGTACAGACTAATGGGAGAGGACGGGAGAGCGCTAGCAAGCATACTGTAAGGACGGAGGGGAGTGGGACGGGGCGGAGCGAGGCAGGGCTGGGTGGGACGAAGAGGAGGGTGACAGTACGGGGTAAGACAGGGCTGGGCTGGGCGGAGCGGGGCTGGGCTGGGCTGGCCGGAGCGGGGTGGCGGAGCAGCGGGGGCTGAGCGGGAGCGGAGCGGGGCTGGGGCGAAGCCGGCATGGCCAAGGCACAGCGCCGCCGCAGGACGACCAACCGGGTCGGCGGGAGAAGTGGCGGCGCTGGGATATCTCCCCCCCACCCCACCCCCGCCCGCCCGGCCGGGTTGCCAGGAGGCCCAGAAACGAGGCTGACGCAAGCCAAGGCGAGGCGAAGCAAGACGGGAGGTGAATGACAGCGCGGGCCGGGCCGGGCCGGCGAAGGGCAGGTGGATCGGGCGGGACCGATTTATTTCCGCGCCACCGTCACCGCTACTGTGCGTACACACTCACACACCCGCCTCTTTCTCCACGCAGGACCGCCGCGCCGGTGGCTTCTAACCACCTCGGCGCAGGAACCGTGAATCCAACCCCCGTCCCCGCCGCGGGCTCTTTCAGATAACATCGGCGCGGTCGCCAACGCCGGCGGCCTTTTTACTATCGGGGACTGTGATCTCGTTTCCTGGCGCTCCCGCGCGCCGCACAGGCTGCCTCGAAAGCAAGTCTCCCCCCGATGCTCGCTTCGGGTCGGTGTAATAAAATTGCCGGACGTATTGATTAAACAAGCTCGAAACGTCAACGTTCATCACCAAACTGCAAAGGTGCGCGAAAGGACTTTTGTATACTCTTACAGGAATCGAGGACCGATTTATCGTGCTGGAGCACCATTGCTGCTTTCACGATTAAAATTACCCTGGCGCGGAACATGGTTAATCTGTTCTCATTCATTATCGTCAACGTTCAAGGTTTCAGATTCTTCCACAATTTTCTACCGTTTCGAGATTGTGGAAGTAATTTTGGACGAGTAACGAATTTCGAACGAGTATAATATTTTTAGACAACTATGGATAAGCAGGTCTTGAAGTTAGACGGGTTACATTAAAGATTGCAATGCTATACGTTTTGAACCGACCTAGAAGTTCTAACAAATAGAAACGAAATGCAGAATACAGTAAGTAATTTATATAACAAAATTTACGACGCGTAATTTAAAAAAATTATGAATATAATGCTTGGAAACTCTTCAGAGCAGTCCCGCAAACATTTCAAGAGCTACATGTAGAACTTGACAAAAGTGGGAAGTGAAAAAAAAGCAACGGTACAGATCCCAAATACAAAAGAACGAAAAGTATTGAGAAACAAATAATTCAGAAAAATTAGGTATCGAGAATCCACAACCGCATCAACCTGTCAGATCAAACAACACAGTCGCTCCATCGAGTTCCATCGTTGGATCCGAACATTTATTAAACTGTTAGAAAAAGGTACACGAAATGAAAATGAACATGATCCGCGAGTGATATAAACACACTTAAAAGTTTACATCGGGCACCGGCTAGCTCCCCTCTCCGCCAAACAAACAACAAAAAACCGACGCCACACAGACGAAAATCGCAAACAAGGCACAGTAGACCGGCTGTCCGAAACTCACCAGGCCAAAAATGAATTTACCCAATACAACGTGAATCTATCCAAAACACCGAACGTTGCGAGTGGGAAGACAAAAAAACAAATAGTGGGCAGGCAGTGGGCCGGTACCCAAATCTTCCGGTCGAAACCAAATTTTGAATATTTTTCTCGAAAAAACTTTTCCGAAAATAAAAAAAAAATTAAAAAAATCTTGAGTGCTCACCTGAGTCCGCAGGGCTCCGGGTCTGAGAGGCGCAGCGCCTCGCGGGCCACCCGCGGCAGGAGATCCGCGGGCAGAAGCACCTCGCCGGCCGCTAGCCGGTGCGCCGACTTTGCGGCCCTCAGCTCGCGCTCCAGCCGCCTCGCCAGCGCCCTCCAGCCGGCTTGCACACCTCCTGCGAGACAGACGCGGAAACCCTCGCGTTACGCGCCGGCCACACACACACACACACACACACAAAGCAAAAAGCGCCAAAGTGGTGCATAGAACACACACACACACACAGCAACACTGTCATACGGACACACACATTCACGTGCGAAGTCTGACGGGCAGCATATGACGGACGCAACATTTTATTGAAATTCGCATCTAATATTACGGCAGTTATGAGTTTTAATATATTGGACAATCTTAATTTTACCTAAACGTGGAGCAAGGAGAGCCTCACTGAAAAATCTTACCGAAATTCTAATTCAATAAACAGCCAATTTTTTTGTTTCAACCACCCATTCTGGATTTCTCAGTAACGGATAGTTACCATTATTTCTGCTACGCATCAAATCAAATTCGTGCTGTATGTGATTGATTACTGTTTCCCCTCATATTCACTGCGAATTCGAAGCCGAAATCTTAAAACCAAACGAATAATTCGGAAATTGTTGAATGGGAGATAAATTGTCAAATGTCATTAAAGATACCGGGATGTCATACGAAGTGATCAAGTGCCGGCAGTGGAAGCAGGAGGCCGATATATACACATCAGACGTTGCCGAAGACGCGGAAGCCGGCCGAGTTGAAACAAAGGAAGCCGTCGGTTTGCGGGAAGCAAGCCCTGTCAAATCGACGAAATCCCTTTCTTTGCTGCATATACGGCTTATTAACTACTCTAATTAAACGAAATATTACCTAAAAGGCAATATTTCAGAAGTTGTCACTCGACATGAAAGTTGCCGTCAATTCGTAAATTCATATACATAGTAATTCGAAGTCTTTATAAATACACGGCACGTTAAACAAAACCATTTAGAAATTATGGAAAGATCATGAATATGGGAAGCACCGTCGAGGTCTCAGATGGAGAAACCAAAAAGAAAAGAAAAAACTTCTAAAAACGGAAAATTGTGGCCCGTCTAACGAAGCTCATTACATCACACGCACAATTCGTAACTTCTAACCTCGCAACAAACTCATCTTTACCTGAATCCACCTTCAGATGCATAGCTTCCGCGTACGTGGCAACCGGCATCTTATTCAGTTCACACACCGAATACGCCAACACTTCACCGTTCAGCACGTCCATCCAACCGACATTCGCATAAAGCCAAGCGAACTCATCAGTTCCTAGCACCGCCCGCAACAAAGCCAACCGTAACTGATCACGATAAACTATCTACCTTCGCTTTCATGGCCCGAACGAGAGAAAACCACAAACGTTTATTTTGAAAACTTCAGCCGGCACTTTCTTTCAGACCGGCTAGCCAATCTCCGCAGCGTTGCTACGCGAAAGACCACCGACAAAAAAAGCCGGCCCAACGGCTGCGATACGTCGCGACCGCGGTCTTTGGCTTAGCAACAGCACCGCTGCGGCCGGCCGGTACGAAAAAGCCGGTTGGGGGGGAGGGTTGACTCGCGGCGTTGCTGATAACGCCGCACACAAGCCCGTATGGCATCAGGCACTCGGGTTGAGAGCTGCGTCCTGTCGCCTAGCAACGCGAGCCGAGCCGCCCCCGCGGTCCGCTGCAGGCTGGCTACCGGTTCGCCCGAAAGCCGGCCGGCGAGTCGCGACTCGCTCGCTGAGGGCCTACGTGACCGGCTCCGGGGAGGGGGGGAAGCCGGCAACGGAAGGGAAAGGGAGGGGAGGAGAGCGGAGGGGAAGAGGGGGGGGGGGAATCAAGCCGGGATCTTTGTTGTCAGCCGGTCCTGCCAGGGGCTCGGTCCGCATCTCACAACCGGTTCCCCGGCTCTTCCAAACTCCTTCGAACACGCCTCCCTGTGTCCCGATTAACCTTGACACCACCCGCCCCCGTCCTCGTCGTCAACGTTGATGACAACGAACGCGAACGAACACGCACGCGCATGCACGCCACGCGCAGTCGCCGGGCCGGCGCAGCTACTGCCGCGGCCGTTGACAACATCGATCAGCTGTTGCAACAGCTGAGAGCGCGAGCGGCGCGCGGGCACAAAATCGTTATAGGCCTAGGCAACCAACCCCTCGATAGTCGCCCGCGCATGCGCCGGCAGGCACCCTCCGGGAGGGGGTGGATGCTGCCGCCCCCCCCCCTCGCGGCTTCGCTTGACAACAAGCACCCTCACACACACACGCGCTCACCCACACAAAGACATCTACAGCACCACCGCTCTTTGTGTGCACTGTAACTTACCTTCGGGCGTACTGAAGCGTTGTTCCCCTATCGCCGGGTCCAAGACTTCGGTCGCAGACATCTTCTGCTGCTGCGGCTGCCAGATATCAGACAACTTGTGGAAGACGCCGTGGAGCTTCGATTCGTGCTGCGGGGCGGTCGCGGCTAAAATCTCCTGAACGTTCCTGTTACTGTCCTTCATCATAATCGACGAACAGACAACCGCTGAAGGAACAAGTCTCCACCGGATTCGCACACGGCCCGTGTGTGTGACAGCGCGATAAAACAAATAAAAACGACGACTATCACACACACACACACTCCCTCACACTCCGATAGGCCCGTCAGCGGCTCCTATCCATGTGGGCTCGTGCTTCTCCGGCGAGTGACAGCGGCGGAGTGCCGGCTCCGCGCTCCGCGCCGCCTGGTAACCCTCGCGCAACCGCCGCCGCCTCCCTCGCCCCCGCCGCCGGCGTCCTAGTCAGCTGATCCCGCGGCCGCGCCGCCATTGGACGAGCCCGCGCCAATCGCCGGGCGCGCCCGCGCTAGCAACAGCGGGGCCGGCCAGAGGCGGCGGAACCGAACGGGGACGCCACAGAGACGTGCCGGCACCGCTTTTTTTGTGTGTGAGTGTGAGTGTGTTCCCTCTTTTTTTATTATTATTATTTTCATAAAGAAGGCATCAGCAGCAGCATTAATTACTCAACTCCTGTTTGCTTTCGCGAGCGCAAAACGGGCGAACCGGGAGCAGGCCCGTGGATGTATAGAGAGGGGCCCGCGAAAAATAATCGCGCGCAACGGAGGAAGAGAAGCGCAGAAGAAGCAGAGCTAGCGCGGCGAGGACGGCAGAAAGAGAGGGACAAGAACAGGCGAGTGAAGCAGATCGAGGCTTCTCTGGCTGGCTCGGGGCCGTTCGGTCGATACACGCCCCTCGCGCGCGCACAGGGCCCGGCACAGCAACGGGCCCTTCCTTCGTGCCGCCGCAACCCCGAGGGCTCGGGCGAAGGGCGAACGAGGGAGAGGCAGAAAAAGGGCGATGAAGAGAGAGAGGGGTAGTGGCGCTCTCGCTTCCCCATCAGATGTTGGCGTCCTAGGCCTACCCTCTGAACGTCACGTAGGCACCGAACAGCGTCCCCCTCTCTACCAGACCGCGAGGCAGGGAGGGAGGGAGGGAGGGAGAGAGAGAGACAGAGACCTCTTTGTGTTTAATACCGAGGCAGAGAGCACGCTAGCTCGCCCGGTCCATACATATAAAAGCACGATAAACACAACGTCTTACGAATTGTTTTCCGTACACGATCTAGAACGCCAGGCTGGCCCGACATGCATATTAATATCCCAACTCCTCCGGAAGGAGTCGACACCGCGGACGGTAGAAGCGGCCAGTCGAAAAGTCTCTGGAGGGAGAAGGCAATTGGACACGCTACGGCCATTAAGAAGCCTTCAATTAATGGGGGTCCCAGCTTTTTTTTACCCGTTTCGACCCGCCCGCCCCCTGCCTTTGTCATCAAGTGACTCCCCCCGTAGCGCACACACACACACACACACACACACACACACACACAGAGGCACACGCGCGTGTGTTCTGGTACGGAGATGCCTCCCCCCCCCTAATAACAGACTTCCCGGCCGGAGAGGATAATGTACAGTTACAAACCATAATATTTAACAACTGGAATACAAAGGCAAGCACTCGTACTGATCGTCATTAACTCTCGCTACGTTTTGAATTCGACAAACATAGTCCGTCGAAGAACTTCGTGGATGAAGTGATTCCACAAACTATTTTCTAATAAAAAAACACACACACACACACACACACGACAATTAGACCTCATTCACGAGCTGACAACTTCCCTTTGCGTGACACTTCAGGGGAGGGGAGGTGGGGGAGGGGAACCCTTTCGCTTCATTTGGCCCCCTCGGGCGGTGGCCAACGGAACAAAGGACGAACGCGGGGGCGGGGACGGGGGCGCACACGCGCGCCGGACTCTCGACTACGGCGACGGGGTAAAACAAACACATCGCGGTGCCAATCGACGCCTTGTTTACTTCGCGACGTGGAGCGTGTCGTTCAAGATTCTGCGGCGCGGCGGATCAAAACGCATTGTTTCCCCGCTGACTCGCTTCCGAGTGGTGTCGACACGCCGCGGACGTTTCTCAAAACGAACATTTGAATTCCGTGCGGGAGAGTGAAGATACTGCACAGGACGATAACGCGATACATCTGTCATTAGAGCTGCAACGTCCAACTGAGCACACAGCTGATTAGAAGACGAAGTTAGGAGTCGTTGGCGTCAAAACCTTCAGATGCAGAATGCAAACTGTGAGTAATGTTATCGTGGACAATGGAAATGGTTTCCTGTAAATAATATTACTCGCATTTTCGACTCGTGTGTACACATTGACAATGGGAACAAAATATTCACTTATTCCAACAAAAAATACGACGAAAATGAAATTACATTCATGCTGGCCCAAAAAAGAATCAGGCAAAACTGTAATAGTTCAGTGCAATGTAATTACGCCGACAAAATTCTAATTAATGAATGCTTATGTATGTTCATTACAGAATAATTAGCAGTGACTAATTATATACGAGAGCGGATGGCGTGACTATTATATAAAAAAATAATGAAAATGTCTGCAAACAAAGCGACTTGCACTCTAATAGTTTTCATATTCTTCACTTACAAAGACTGTCCTTCAAGAGAACAAAAGGCTACTTCTAATCGAAATGTAAATATTTTAAAATCAACATTTTCTCTCTTAAAACACAAAGAAAATTTTACATATTTTACGATCGAATGTAAATCGCTGCAAGCAAGCTATATGACAAATAATTGCATTCAAATCCTACAAACAGAGCCTGAATACAGAGCAGAGACAACTGACAAACATATCGAAGTACCTTTCTTTATAAATAGTAATTTAAAACATTTAATGTTATATTCAAAATTTAAAAAAAAAATGGATTTCTATTTTAGTTTGATGGTGACAACCTATTAATGCTCAAATGAGTTGCAAATTTGTCGAAAAAGGAAAAACAATTTAAGTTATACAATGTATTATCTGTCTATAAATTACATGGGGCTTCTCACCTTCAAGATAAATATCCAAATATCTCAATATCCGTCCAATAAGATTTCTTCTCGAATATCGATGAAACAAAAGGAGTGATTTCTCCAATTAGCGAGAAACGCTGAACGGAAATCTAAATGATGAATTTTGAACCAATTAATGCATTTCATCTTAACAGAATGATTAACAACGACTCCTCTACAAGAACTACTTCTTAAAGATAACCATTCTGCATTGATAACAGCATTTCGTTTTTATAAGAAAGCTTGAGTCATCGAATAAGGTACCCACAGCACTACATCAAAACAATAATAACATATATCGCGCATCATAATAATAGTTTAAACATTTGTATGCTTACATCAAACCAGATCGAAGGGCGATATAGCAATTACGTACAACGCGAAACTACCAGATACGAACAAAGGACTGTAGTATATCAAAGAGCAAAAATCCTACACAAAAGCAGGATTCGCAGATTAAAAAATTAAAAAAAAAAGTCATCCCACCGTCTTCTTCTTGAGGACACAATACTATTCATTCAGGAACGGTTCAGGTCGTTTCAACTTCGAGCACCAAGGATAGCGGAGAATTTTTTCAAGTTTAATAGCAAGCAAGCAAGCAGGGTTTCCCTGGGTGGCGAAACCAAACAAGACGTGTCACGACCTGTGCAAGATTCAACCGTCCCATGTAATGAGGTGCACACAATGGAGAAAAGGGTGCCTTCACAATTATTGACGTTTTTAAACGGACGTAATACACCCATGCATCATTCTTCTTTACTTCTGAAATATTTTAATGAAAATGTTCATTTTTCTCTTCTATTTATTTTGCACGCAGAAATCGCAACCGATTCACAGAATACTTGCTTATTCAAACCCTACGATCTGTGATTAGCATAAACAGATCGTAGCGTCTTCCATCATCGCCCACCCATATTGCCACAACCACAGGGCGGAACTGACGAATCTTTTGACAAAGTGGTCTGCAAGATACAAATGCAAAGACGTAACATTGCGCCATCTCAAAGATACGTGGAATGAATCATTCAGTACTGGAATCGCGCACTTCTAACACTGATTGAGATGGACTTTCAAAAGCGGTCGTGCACAGTAATCTGTTCGCATGAATTATACAAGTGAACTACATTTTGGGGCATTAGTTTAAATATTGGCGGCCGAAACTCAGTCGATACTTCAGGAATAAGAAACTTCTCACGGGATGAGTGATTGATTAAAATGAGTGATCACTTACACAGATTCGATTCCTACGGGACTAATGACCACAGCAGTTGACGAACCCTCGAAATAATAAATCAATCAGAGTGTACGTATTAAATATTTTTTCGTACAAAGGACGTTAACTTGAGTTGTGCGCTTTAGAGTTTTGTTGTAATAGTACACTTCCAATACAGTCGATTTATTCTGCGAAATCTTTGATACTGTTATCCATTATAGAAGAGAACGCCGGGAAAGAAAATATTGTAAGTCGTAAAGATGCTGAATTTCATCCTCCGGGTACATTTCCGGAAACCGGCAATCTGCCATATACGAATGTGGATACTCACTGCCTTCTCATGTGGGTATACGGATTAATTAAAAAAGAAAATTGAGCATTGAAAACCCATTTTAAGTGTCCCTGATGAATTCGGCCCAAAGAGTTTACGCTATACCTTGGATGGAACTTTGAACTACAAATCGATACACGTCCCTATTAATAGTAACAATTGGCCATTTTATTTATCGTGCGCGTATCAACTCCTGCCTGGGCCACAGCAAAACTTTGTTCATCGTATCAGAGCACTCATCAACCTTTGTATCACAGATGACACTGCGTATCTAGTTTGCTGCATTCGTGCTTCCCCCTTTTCTGCCGTACCTTCCTCCTTTCGGCCCATGAAACGTAATCCTACCTCGGGACCGCGTTCGCGCCCTCTATAAAAGAGTTTGTAAGCGTCAGGATCCGGGGGTCGGGAGCAGTAAATTTCAAAAAGCAACACCGAATACCCCCCCCCCCCCATCCGACCACGTTTAAAATTCCCTCTCCCGCAGGATAGCGACATGCGGGTTCACAGAGCTGGCTGGGAGATGTACAATGTCATACACTCCTACAATGGCGGCTCAGAGTCCTCCTTGTGGACACAGCTTGGGGTGGCGCACAGCTATAGTCCCCCTCCTGTGTGGTAAGCGTACGCACTATTCATTGCCAGGCTGTGCAAAACCTCTCTGTTTGATAAGACCGTTTCCACTAGAGGTTCAGAGTTTTCGACCCGCCATCTCCGTCCCGTCACGCCGCCTTGCTCGTCCCTGCGCGTACTGTTGTCTCCACCCCACATCCCCGAGCCTCCGCCCCCAACCCAGTTTCCCCGTTGTCGTTCAGCCGTCCCCGCCCCGTCCACCCATCCCGACGTCCTCGTCCCGTCAATCTGACG